GTCATAACCAAACAGAAGGTAAAAATGTGAAAATCCAGCTGTATCATGACGTGAACTGTTGTATGCGAAGGTAACGAAAGGTAAGTGGGTGTCCCAATCTTTGTGATCCTTGGAGACGTACATCGCTAACATATTCGTCAGGGTACGGTTGAGGTGTTCCGTGAGGCCGTTGGTTTGCGGATGGTACGCTGTAGTGAACTTGTGGTGGGTAGAGCAGGATCGCAGGAGCTCGTAGACTACTTTAGATAGAAAACAGCTGCCGCGGTCGGTGATCAACTGACGAGGAGCACCATGACGCAGAATGATGTCATGAAGAAGGAAGTCGGCTACATCAGTAGCGCAGCTGGTGGGGAGGGCGCGTGTAATGGCATACCGCGTTGCGTAGTCGGTAGCAATAGCAATCCACTTATTAGCGGTGGCCGACACGGGAAAAGGTCCTAGAAGATCGAGGCCGACTCGGAAAAATGGCTCATCTGGTACATCAATGGGCTGGAGGGTACCAGCAGGTCTCAGAGCAGGTGTCTTGCGGCGCTGGCAGAGGTCGCATGCCGCAACGTACTGTCGCACAAAACGGTAGAGGCCAGGCCAAAAGAAACGGCGGCGAATGTGGTCATGCGTGCGTGACACCCCTAGGTGTCCAGCGGAGGGGGCATCATGCAGCTGGGCCAAAACGTCTGAGCGAAGATGCGCAGGAACAACGAGTAAAAGCTCAGCACCATCAGGGCGGGCGTTGTAGCGGTGCAAGATGTCGTTGTGAAGAACGAACAGTTGTAAGAAGTGGTCAGGGTGGGGAGAGTGCAGACCATTGATAATAGCACGTAAAGAGGGGTCGCAGCGTTGTTCAGCAGATATGTCGGTGAAGTCGGTAATTGAAAGAACGAGGGCATCTTGCTCATCTTCCCTCGTGTCAGGGGGATCAACTGGGTAACGGGACAAGCAGTCGGCATCCTTGTGAAGTTGTCCGGATTTATAGGATGCGGAAAAAGTGTACTCTTGTAAGCGCAGCGCCCAGCGACCAAGGCGTCCCGTAGGGTCCTTGAGTGAGGAGAGCCAGCAAAGCGCATGGTCATTATCATCATCATCAGCCTGACTACGTCCACTGCAGGACAAAGGCCTCTCCCATGTTCCGCCAGTTAACCCGGTCCTGTGCTTGCTGCTGCCAATTTATACCCACAAACTTCTTAATCACATCTGCCCACCTAACCTTCTGTCTCCCCCTAACCCGCTTCCCTTTTCTGGGAATCCAGTTAGTTACCCTTAACGACCAGCGGTTATCCTGTCTACGCGCTACATGCCCAGCCCTTGTCCATTTTCTCTTCTTTATTTCAACTATGATATCCTTAACCCCCGTTTGTCCCCTAATCCACTCTGCTCTCTTCTTGTCTCTTAAGGTTACACCTACCATTTTTTTTCCATTGCTCGCTGCGTCGTTCTCAATTTAAGCTGAACCCTCTTTGTAAGTCTCCAGGTTTCTGCTCCGTAGCTAAGTACTGGCAAGATACAGCTGTTTTATACCTTCCTCTTGAGGGATAGTGGCAATCTACCTGTCATAATTTGAGAGTGCTTGCCGAATGTGCTCCACCCCATTCTTATTCTTCTAGTTACTTCAATCTCGTGGTTAGGCTCTGCGGTTATTACCTGCCCTAAGTAGACATAGTCCTTTACAACTTCAAGTGCACTATTACCTATCTCGAAGCGCTGCTCCTTTCTGAGGTTGTTGTACATTACTTTCGTTTTCTGCAGATTAATTTTAAGACCCACCTTTCTGCTCTCCTTGTCTAACTCCGTAATCATGAGTTGCAATTCGTCCCCTGAGTTACTCAGCAATGCAATGTCATCGGTGAAGCGCAAGTTACTAAGTATTCTCCATTAACTCTTATCCCTAACTGTTCCCATTCTAGGCTTCTGAAAACCTCCTGTAAGCACGCGGTAAATAGCATTGGGAAGATTGTGTCCCCCTGCCTTACACCCTTCTTGATTGGTATTCAAGAAGGCTGTAAGGCAGGGGGACACAATCTCCCCAATGCTATTTACCATGCGCATGGTGGTCCGTAATAACTGAGAATGGTCGGCCATACAGGTACGGTTGGAATTTCGCAATGGCCCAGACCAGAGCTAAGCATTCGCGTTCTGTGATGGAATAATTTTGTTCCGAGCGCGACAACAGTCGCCTTGCATACACGACGACGCGGTGCATGCCTTGTTGCCGCTGCGCCAGCACTGCGCCTATGCCGTGGCCACTGGCGTCAGTACGAAGCTCCGTGGTGGCAGATGGATCGAAGTGTGCTAGGACTGGTGGATTGGTGAGATTGTCAACGAGCGACGAGAAGGCGTTTGCTTGCTGTTGGCTCCAGGTGAATGCGACATCCGTTTTGAGGAGGCAGGTTAGAGGACGGGCTACTTCAGTAAAACTTCTCGACAAAACGACGGAAATAGGAGCACAGTCCCAGAAAACTTCGGACGTCCTTGGCTGAGCGGGGTGTGGTGAAGTCGCGAACTGCTCGGACTTTCGCAGAGTCTGGTTGAACGCCCGCAGCGTTAACAAGATGGCCGAGTACGCAGATTTGGCGTTGCCCAAAGCGGCATTTGGACGAGTTAAGTTGCAAGTTGGCACGTCGAAAAACATCAAGCACTGTGGACAGACGGGTAAGATGGTCGTCGAAAGTAGTCGAAAAAACAATAACGTCGTCAAGATGGTCCACTTCATGCCTCGAAGGAGAGAGTCCATCATGCGCTCAAATGTCGCGGGGGCATTGAATAATCCAAAAGGCATCATCTTGAACTGATGAAGTCCATCAGGAGTCACGAAGGCCGTCTTCTCTCTGTCTTTGTCGTCCACAGCGATCTGCCAGTAGCCTGAGCGAAGGTCTATTGAAGAGAAATATTTGGCACCGTGCAAGCAATCGAGTGCATCATCTATGCGCGGTAGGATATAGACATCTTCCTTGGCAATATGGTTGAGATGGCGGTAATCAACACAGAATCTCCAGCTATTGTCCTTCTTTTTAACAAGTACAACGGGTGAGGACCAGGGACTAGATGAGGGTTCGTTTACGCCCATATCAAGCATTTTATCGACTTCTCGCTGTATAATAGCACGCTCCGGGGCTGACACACGGTAGGGTCGTCGGCGAATGGGTCGAGCGTCACCGGTGTCGATGCGATGGGTTACCACGGATGTCTGGCCCAAATTACGGTCGCCGAAGTCAAAGATGTCCTGATAAGAAGCAAGCACACGGCAGAAAGCAGAGACTTGTTCAGAGGTGAGCTTTTCAGATAGCATTGGCTTGAAAAGGTCGGAACAGGAACGTGACGAGAACGACGTTGATGAAAAATCGGGTGGCGAATCGGTGGTTAGGGCGGAAACTGTGTGGTCGACCAGTGGTGTCAGATGCGCAAGTGACATGCCGCGAGGAATCACTTGCGCTGAGAAGCTGAAATTGAGGACCGGAAATGAAGTTCGGTTGTCCTTAACGGTTACCACCGTGTTGGGGAGTGCAACATTGCGTGTCATGGCCACGTCAGAAATTGGGGCAGCAACATAATCACCATCGGGTACTGGAGGATATGGCGAGAGTTGGACTTGGACTGCGGCTTGCGGCGGAAGTCTGAGGAAATCGACAGAGCGTAGACGAGGTGGGCTGGTAGAGACGGTCTCCGAGAAGGATGGTAGTTCGAGCCGAAGAAGACCTTTGGAACAGTCAATGAGCGCAGCGTGTGAAGTCAGAAAGTCGAGTCCAAGGATGAGGTCATGAGGGCAATGTTCCAGTACAGCGAACAGAACTGAAGTTTGATGCTCAGAAATTGTTAATCGCGCAGTGCACATTCCAAGCACAGCAGGAGTACTGCCATCTGCTGTACGAACGGTAGGTGCAATCGCAGGCGTCAGAACTTTTTGGAGGCGGCGGCGGAGGTCTGAGCTCATCACAGATATTTGTGCACCGGTATCAATAAGAGCAGTTACAGTTACAGCAGTTACTCCCACTGGTCGGGAGTAATCAGAGGATTTGCAGTCTGAGTCGTGTATGCAGCGTCACCTCCGGGGGCTGCACCGGCTAGTTTTCCGAGCGACGGTCGTAGGGATACTGAGAACGGCGGGGTCGGGGCGAGCAGGACTGACGACACACGGGCGATGGCGAGCGGCTGGTCCGACGTTCTGGATTAGGCTCTGCACCGTCTCAGCACGGTAGGACGGGGCATAAGGTGCACGTTCAGAGCGAGGCCGCCAAATATAAAAGCTCGGTTGAGGTGATGAGGTCCAATGGCTGCGGCAATGGCGAGCGATGTGTCCTATCCGATGGCACGTGAAACATATGAGCCGATCATCATGAGTGCGCCATTCAGCTGGGTTTCATCGTGGCGCGCACGTGCGGTTCGGAGTGGCAGCCGCAATGACTGGAGCCGAGCTGGAAGTACCAGGGGCATTTTGATGAGGTGGCAAATGCCTATATTCGCGATCTTTTGGCGAACCACGGCCAGTATTATTGAAACAGCATCGAGGTTGTGTCCTGGCGCGCTGACGCTAGACATAGCGGGAGCCATAGCCTCGAGTTCCCGACGGACTATTCTGGTGACGTTTTCTGGCGCTGGTGGTTGTTGTAGTGTGGGAAAATCTTTGCAAGAGGACGTAGCCGCCGTGTTGGGAAGGCGGTCCAATCGGTGAACTATGCGCCTACTTTTTGCCTGTTCGAAGCGACGACATGCTTCGATGACCGACTCCATCGTCGAGCAGTCCTTGCACAGGAGAAAATTGAAGGCGTCATCCGCAATTCCTTTCAGGATGTGTCCGACTTTGTCCTCGTCGAGCATGTCCTTGTCGACCTTGCGGCACAAAGCCAACACGTCCTGGATGTACGCGATGTACGGCTCTGTGGATGTCTCGGCACGAGTCGCAAGCTCTTTCTTTGCGGCCACTTGACGTCCGATAGGTTTCCCAAACAGATAGCGCAATTTCTGCTTACAGACGTCCCAGCTAGTCAACTCTTCTTGATGTGTCTCGTACCAGAGTTTTGCTGTGCCATGCAAGTAAAAGATGATGTTCGCCAACATGAGCGTCGGATCCCAATGGTTGCTGCTGCTGACACGCTCATATAGAACCAGCTAGTCATCGACGTCTATGCCACTTGTGCCGTTGAATGGGTCTGGGTCACGAGGTTGCACCACAACGATCGGCTGCGGGGCTGATGGATCTTGTTGACATTGAGTAGCCTGGTCAGTCATCGTGGTAGCTGCAATGCGCCGTCCGCTGCGAAGATCCAGCTCGTTGGGCTGTATAGCGAGTGGTACCCCGCACCTTCAACCAATGATGTTACGGGGAATAAAGTATACACTGGCGAGCAAATGCGTACTGGCGAATATACTGGCGAGCTAATGCGTACAACGCTGCTGCAGTCCGAGCGCGTTCACTTTCAGCACTTCATCGTCGTCATCCTCAGGCATCTACTTAGCCCGTGACAATATCAACAATTTATGTTCCTCTCTGCGAACTGGGCGTTCCGGAAACACAAGGCAGGAAATTGCTTTTTCTCATCCTATAATCAGATAATAACTGGTCTATAAGCGCACCTAAACGGCTTGGAGAGTAGTTTTTGTGTTCACCCTGGAGCTAAGTTTCAACCGAACGGAAATTAAAAGGCGTGGAGGGAGTGAGCGAATCAATTTGCCGTTCCATGATTCTGTTCTTGGCAAGAATGGGGCACTCTATAGGCTGGCTTGTGTAACGCGATGTTGCATTATTTTGTTTTGTTACATAGCGAAACTGTCTCCGTATAGAGTATCTTTAGGGACGGCCACCATGCATGACAAACCCATAAAACGCAACCAATAAGGACTGTATTAACCGTAGACAATATAGTGTCTATCGCCCATCCTTTGCAATCACGCAGCCCGATGGCCGCCGGTATGGGATCGGGACCATGCCTGCAGCAACAACACAGGGATGCGGCCTCATATTCGTACATGCTGCACGACACCCTCGGCTTAGGCGCCTACTCCAGGGCCTCGGCCAACCCGGCTGGCCAGGGTGGCATCGCGGGAGGGCATCCCGCCGCGTACGCAGTCAGCGGGGCCAGCCCTCATGGCGCCGCAGGTAGGTCCTGTGAATTTCTGCTTTTCTTTAGTACAGCCCACCACGTGTCACGAAATTGCGTTGAGGCGACATCGATGAGTGCAATATATGTTTTAACACGTCTTCCCAAGGAGAAGAAAACGCTTTATTAACGCCATGAAATGGGCCAGGTCTGGAAGGGGCCAGGGAAGAGGGAGATGTGCCCTCAGGTCGCTTTAGGTGGCCAGAAGTGCATGTATGTCGGCGACCCTATGCTGCACAGCGCATGATTCAGAGTAAGTCTTCCAGTCGTGAGCTGCGTATAGAGCAGCCATACCATCGCTAATGTTGCTTGTTCACACAATGAGGGTATAGGTATACGATTGAAGTCGGCTCGCCGACTCGAGCACTGACGGCACTGGCGTAAGGCTTCACCCTGATCTTACAGGTGTTGAAACTACGCGCACTACTCATTACTGCAACCGCTGGCCCTTCACAAGAATTATAGTGCTTCAAAGCTTTTATGACCGGACAAGATACCCGACCATAAAGCCCATTATAGTTAAAACTTTCGGTGCATAGGCGCCATTTGCGACATGAACATTGCTTCAAATTAGAACAAGCATGGTCGCACCATCAAGAAGTTGCATGCTAAGAAATTTTGTATACTCCCAGACGACAGCGCGAATCGGTACTGTTAAGAGAATACATATTTTGCATTACCATGCTGGCCAAACGGCTAGAATTATGTAATTGCTCTTTAATGCTATCGAATCCTATTGTGGGGAACAACTGAAGAAGTCGCCAGGCCCCGTCTAGACGACCGACACGCGGCAGCCGATTGCTTTCGCGACCGGGGAAACACTGTCCCGCTTGTGTTCTCGGGCGCGTTCTCGAAGCTGGCATTCACTTCACTACATTACTACACAAGCTACACTATTTCCTTCTAACTCAGCGTGACGAAACACGAGTTGCACCCCCCCCCCCCTATACAGGATCCGGCCGATGCCTATGTATCACACGTCTACGTTTGTGGTCGTATAAACAGTATACTCGTTTCAATAATATAAGAGGTTAGGAACTAGAATTGCGGAGAGAGAGTGAATTGCACCTTGGATCAGATCACTGCATCTGCTCACAGGGTGACGAAGGGAAGACACCTACCGAAAGGCTCAGAAGAGCAGTGAAATAAGTCGAATGCCTTGTGCTATCTCAGAGCAAAGCCCTGGGTCATCGAGTCGTGTGCTAAACGCCCGGCAACTATCGCCGGGAGAGCGCAGGCAATGCGCACCAACTTTTTTCATCTAGGGACCTTAGCACCAACCATCATTGCCGCAGATTTCACTGCAGCCCCGAGTTCTCAACAAACATGGCCTGTTTTGAGATATGGTGCATCTTAATGTAACTAGACCTATAGAGACTTTAGTGCATATAATGTTACCCCTAGAGAGACGACGCAGGGCACTACATGGCAACCGCACTTTCTCTGTGCTCGAACGCATACTATCCTTGAAAGGCATTCTTGCAGTCGTCTCTTTCTTGTAGTCAGCCGCCTTGCTAAACGGCGAATTGGTGGCGTCCTCACTTTTGTCAATGCGACAAGTTCAGGGTGTGATGACTACGGGAGTGCGACTGCTATGCGAATGAATACAGCATTTCCTACAGTTTGGTGCCTGCATACTGTTTGTGAGAAATGCGCCTGCACCTCTGATCTCTCTCTGGTTAGCTCTGCTGCACTGCATCAACATACTTATGCACCACTGCAGAATCAGTGGTTCTCAGTGGTCTCGAGCATATGTCATCGCTGTCTTTCGCTATGCGCAGGTGTCATCTCTCCAGGCGTGACGGTGCCAGTGCAAGTCCCTGGCCAAACAACCGACCTCTCGGTGCCGTCCAACTATTGGCCCCGACTGCAGTGACAATGGCCCATGGTTGGGTACCCGACCGACCTGAGCCTCGCCAAGGGTAGCAGGTCGTACGCCAACCTCCAGGACCACTTCCCGGCCACTTGCGCCAACAAGGACTAGTCGCGCTACATGCGCCCACAAAGGAAGCTTGGCTTCACTCTTCTAGTCCGCACGAATTCTTGCCAGCAGCGCACAGCAGAACTCTGATGAACGGTGCAGGAAACGTGCGTGCTCCTTCTTGCAGAAGTGTGAAGCAGTGGCCATGTTTTGTGATGGTGTGTGCAGCTGCTCTAATAGCAGACCCGTATTCTTTTCCCTTTAATGACCACCCATGACCATCTTTGTGTAAACAACAAAGGGTTCAATATGGCATGCAGCACATAAAATGTTGTGCTAATGTCAAGCGTTTTAGCGCAGGACTTTGGAATCTTTGGAATCTCTTGGCACTGATGCTTAATATCGCAAAGTTTCTCAAGGCTACAAATTAGATGGGCATTTTAACGCCACCTTGACAGGCCTCTTAAATTCTATTAATGAACTGCACCATGGTTGAACGGCTCTCTACAGACTGTAAGCCAGCCTTCCCCTGATCTATATATCGGCACGAAAGGCAAAGTTTGCAGCAATGCCCCATGCGAAAATCATGAGCGATTTGGCACTACTATAACGATTTGTGATGATGAAGCAAGCAGATGGACAAAGTAGAACATGTGCTGGCAATGGTTGTGTGCTATGTGTTGTGAATATGCATTGGCAATAGACCATGTGCTGGCAAGAAGTAACTGCACAAACATCACAAAGCAACTCTGCTGCCTTCACTTGCTGTAGTCTTCAACGCGTGTCATGAACACTCCAAACACGTGTGCCTCGACCACCGCTCGTCGAAGCCGCATTTGGACGACAAGACCAGTCGATGCTGGCAAGAGCTACCAAGATTGCTACTGAATATAAGGACCTTTGTTCTAGTCGCCCACACTTGTGAGCGCCCAGTTCTTTCTTTCTGTTGTTCTTAATGTGTCACTTGACTACTCCATCTACTATCTTCTAAATGGGCTGTCTCGGTTGTTGCAATGTCGTCAATGCAATCAAGCTGCAGCTCGTCTTCCCTAGGCCAAGAATTCTCGACGACAAGTTTCTCGGGCAGTGCAAACACAACCCATCCGTCACTAACCTGCGCACACAACACTGTGTTGGACACTTGCAAATGCAGTCCAACTGACAATATGTGTGCTCTCATAGGCGAGTGAATGAAATACTCGCTACACTGCCCTCATGATCCAATGTGACACCAGAGTGAAGTTTTTGTTTGTTTGTTTGCATTTAAGCAGTACAGTTGTGGCGTCTTTCTGTTTCCCTTTGCCTCGCACATCTGAAATGCCAGAGTGTTTGCAGTGTTGCCAGAGATGGCTCGAGACTGTAGCATTAATTTGCACACCATATCGGCAGCTTGTTGTTTTGTGTCATCTGTGTGGACCTTGGAAAGTGATGTTTTGAAAAGCTTGTACAGAACTGTACTGAAGAACAGAATAGGCGCACACTTTAGAAATGTCAAGAGGCATACTTTTATATAGCTCATCCCAAAGAGTTTTCGGTAAAGACAAGAAAAAAATAAAGAACACAGTGAGCGTCACTCTGCGATGCCTTCTGCTGTCACACTTTCTTCGTCAGCATTGGAAATCAGGAGGCATAAGGCCACAGATTGAGCTATTGCAGCTTGTCTCAGGTGCACACCAGACCAAGGTACAGCTTCTCGTGCCATGCCTGCTTAATCAAAGAGTTGTGTTGTGACCCTACCTCCCAACTCCATATTAAAAACACGAGTGGAAGAAAGCTCCAAGGGAAGAAAGGAATTCGGGCTGAATTGGCAAGAAAACAATGAGTGTCATGTATTCAGCATCAACAAACAAAGTATATTATTACTGTCACCTTTACACAATGTGATCAAAATTATATTCCGATTCTTATCTGGCACATAAATTTTCATGCGACATGATAAGCCAGCTCCTTGTCAGGAGAGATAAGAAAAGGTGGCACCTCATAGCTGCAAGGTGTAAAGGTTATTGCGCTCTGTATGAGCGACACCATACGCTGATCACACTGCAAAGTTATGCAGTGGCGCTGATCGTTGCATACTTTTAGTTATTGGGGAAAGAATTAGGCTTTTCATGCAAGTGTGCATTGCCCCCACTTGCTTGCTTTCACCCACAAAGTTACTTTTGAAGTTATTTTTTGTTGAAAGCAAATGGAGCCGAAGCGCACTTGCAGGAACAGCCAAACCATTCCTAATAACTAGAAATCATGTCACTATTAGCACTACAATACTACCTGGCAGTGCCGGTGGCCATGCGCTCACATGGTGTTACATGCAACAGTACTCTTTTTCAGTCTCAAACATTTGACTACTCATTCATTACAAACATAACACTACTTGCAACCGTTCTGACTAGTGCAGTGTAAAATATAGCATATAGTACACAACTAACGGCGACGTGTTCTGTCACTCAGGTATATGCTGTGGTGGTCTTCACGTCCCGCCGGAAAGGCTAAATGTCGTATCCGCAAATGAAAAAGATGATTTGATCTCTTTTCGAGTCCTTGAGGTGGGCAACTGGTCTACGGCCCATGCATCAACACTGTTGTTACACAATTATAATAGGAAGAATTTGCCACATAAGCGCACTTTCACTTCCATGCCTTCAAGATGTTGGTTAGCGCTAGAATAAAATGTAAACAGTGACGAGCATTGCTCAAGTGTGGGGTCACATCACTCAAAGAGCAGCGCTGCCCTCCACATCCATGATTTGTGGTTGGGTGTTGGGTGCAGCAATGCTTTAGAGATACGGGCTTTCGATGACGATGCAATGGCACCTATGAGGAACAGCCTCGCCTCAATCAATATGAGTTGTAGCTAGGCGGTGGTTCGTAGGGGAGCGCATTGCCAACTATGCTCCTCCTTACAATGAACACACCCTCCTTACAATGAATATTCCCAGATACCTTATAGATCCACAAGCTACTAATGCATAAGTCTCATATTTTAACTGTCCTTCATGGAGCAAGAAAAGCTGTACTAGTATGTATGAAGCAACTACGACACAAAACGAAAAGTTACCATTTGTCCAGCACATGCCGGTACTGTCGGCACTCTAATGCATTATATCAACGAGATAAAACAGCATTGAAAATCAAGAGGCCTAATGCCACAGACTGAACCCATTCTCCAACATTTAAAACTTCTATTGAACGAAAAAAACTTTTGCGCTCGCAAACACAGGCGCTAAGCCCCCCTTTATAAACTAGTGAGGGCATACATTGTTTTCTGGCTGTACAGTATAGTTTAAAAATACATATATATAGTTTAAAATTACATATAAAGAAAAAATACCAAATCCTAACCATTTCAATACAAGCTTTACTATTTTTTGTACTGAACACTTGCAGATAGCCAATATCGTGTGCCTAATAGAATTTTTATGGGCATCTTAAAATAAAACTACAACAATAAAACGACTACAGTTAGCCGCACTTTGTATGAGTGTAAGTAGCAAAGTATTATGAGTATGAAAACTCGATGGGGCGCTACATGGTGCTTGCAACAGGCCGATACTGTCTTGCAAAGGCGTGTCGGAAACAATTTCACACGAGCATTAAATTTTAGCTCCTTGGGGCTAACTATACCATAGAGTCACTCATGGCGTAAACACGACTTATCCCAATTGCTGGTAAAAACGAGGAGCAAGGCAGTCGGATGTGGGCTATTATTTTTCTATTGTATTTGAATATGCACTTACAGAGTTGCATCTGTGGTTTATGGTAAGTCGGATACATTAACAATGCAAGGGTTTTTGGTTTATGGCCTAAATATCTCATCACACAATTACCACCTTATGAGAAGCAGTAGTTCGTTTTTTGATTGCTGAAGCTACAATGCGAAAGCGCTGCTCAGAGCATCCTCTTAAAGGACTACTGACAGAAAATTAGGAAACTGAGATGCTTGTGTTGTTTGAATGAACCAGCATGCGGGCCCACTTCTGACCAATTATTAGTTGCAACCATTGCTCATAAGATATTTAAAAATAGTTTTACAGTAAGGGTGCATGCTCATCAAAGTATTCAAATCCAATCGACATTCTCTGTGGTTGGACGTCGACAAGGGCCATCGCGTAACGTTGCGGAGGTCAAGCAAGTATTGTTGGTGTCAGAGGACATTTGCAGGACACGCATAGTACCCAGACTGGTACCTAGCGAGGGCCATTACACGTCACCCCTCTTGCTTTCTTGTTAGATGCTCTCAAGGTGGTTTTGGCAGCACATGCCAGAAATGCTTTTCTTATTTATGAGGGGGACACACTCGAAGCACACACATAATTTCATTTTTCACCACTCGCGAGTCCCCCTGTTTGAGAATGGCACATTCAGTGTCCATTAAGTTTCAACACACATAGCCTCAGGAGCTGGCCCACTGTGGGGCACTTGTTTCTTACTGTATTTAGGCAGGCCTTTGGAACTTATGCAAAATCGCTCTGAATTAATGATGCTAGCATTAATAATTATGTGACAATATAATGCATCACAGTCTTTACAATTCAATTTCGGCATTACTATACTCAAAGCTACAAGTTACTGCAAAAAAATTACCAAGGAGAACTTTTGCTGTCAGGTGTCTATTAACCATAGCACCAGAAGTATTCCAGGTATTTTAAATGCACAAGTGAAAATTTTGAAAATCAGCAAACATGAATGCCACTATAAAAACATGAAAAATACACTTTTTCATTTAGCGGACCCATCTTTCAGAGTGAAGGCAACTGTGTTACTGGCCTGGTAGCCACCCGGAATCAAGGATCGTCGCACAACATTCAGCACCACATAGGACAGTGATGTGCCCAAGTACTGGTCTGCTGCTAAGATGGTGCAGTAGCCACCAAGTAAGGAGCAAGACAGCACACTCAACTGCAAAATAAAAAATAAAAGGGAGACAAAAAAGCAACTTCAGATACTGTGGATAACCTGCAGGGCATAAAGCAAAGCCCAGTGACACCCCTACTATTTGTAATACAGCAGTACTGTCTATAGTAAAGCATTTATGGACCCTTGCTTCATTGTAACCAGTTCTTTTCCAAGTGTAAGCATTTCGTAATTTCTATGCCCATTATGCAGTTTGGAAAAAGAAAGTGTAGAAGCATTATGCTACATTTTATTGGAGATGATATAACTGTAGCGAAATGGCTGTTGGTAGGAATGGAACATGCATCGGAGAAAATGCCCTGCTGACCTGGTACAATGCACTAAACCCGTGAAAGGTTGCAATGCTATGATAAACTCAAGTTACACGCCTTGGCAGTGCCAATACTTCTAAAAACGCCAAAACTATGTACAAGAATGGTAAACATTTAGGATGTGTAATACTGTGCTAGAAGTTGCTGGTCGTTTGCTGCAAACTCGTAAACAAGTACTTGCTACACTAAGCAGTGAGACTAGGTACAAGGTACAATCGC